TATATATATATATAATCCATAATGAAATATCTGTTTATATTATATCTAATTAATTATCAAATTAGTTCAAATTCTTTTCCTTTATAACATCTTTGAAATACAAAATGAAAAGCATTTGAAAAGAAAAATAGACATAGTTGAGAACTATTTCCATAAACGAAGGTAAAGCAGGATGAGAATCAAGTACAATATGTTCACCGGATTTTACGAGGTAGAGACGGGAAAAAGAGGTAAAACCGCGAACGCAAAAGAAAGAACGGTGAGTGGATCGTACTCTTCTACATCTTTCGCGAAGAACTCATGAATCATGACACCTACTAGGAGGTAAAGCTTCTCATTCGTTATCAGCTTGGCAATAAAACTCTTGCCTCCTTCTAATAGACCCGACACTCCGCCGTCCCATCGTCTTCGATCCTTTCACAACCCAGATTCCTTCGACGTTCACCACAAACGAAAGCAGAAGTTTGATTCACGTTGGATAGTGACAACTTCAATCTAAAATATCTTTATACCCGATTTTGTAAAAATTTCCAAGCGCGATATAATAAAGATTATATTTATAATTTATATTTTATATTCTATATCTATATATCTTACATGTGTTTTTGTTTTGCATATTAATGAGAAAGTGTTAATCCGGTTGTTACTAATATCTAGATAATTATGTGGATTGTACGATCAAGTTACGAATAATCAATATAAAATCTTTCGATCATAAAATTGAAAATGTCAATATCACACATTTCTCTTTCTTGTACCGTTACAAATCCAATAATCTTGTTTAAAAGTGGCAATAATATTATCTGCAAGGTTTATTCGCCATCGGTGTCGTATTCATCGGAGAACTTCTCTATCGCAAATGACATAATTTAATTAAGCAATGCAAGAGGTATAACAAACTCGAACGATATTTCAAGCAATTCTCCGGTTTGCAACACGCATTAACGTATCAATGTAGTCTATTAATTTCTTCTCGATCAATGTCTAACTCTTGCAGTCTGCATTTGTAGAGAAAAAGAATTATTCGGTGACCTCAAGGGAATACAAAGTGAAATTCAATTTGAGAAAGCGGTCGGCGATTCAAATACAATTTACGATCAATCTATTCAATTATCAATTGACTTTGGGAATATAAGTTGCATTGATCTTATTATTATTTAACATCATGTCATGCACACAAAAACGATGTATAATATATAATATTTATTATATACTAATTGAGAGAGATACTTATTGATTTACATTTATGATTTATGTTCAACAAAATATATAAATTCTAGCCAAGAAGAAAGGGAAAAGGAAAGAGATATGAAAAATGTGCTGTCGGATATCAGATATGAAAAATGTGCTGTCTTAAGTGCAAGATGTTATGTAGATAAATTATACAATATAAGAAGTTGCAATAAAATGGACTGCTAACATAGCAACAGAAATAGAATTTCTAATATAAATAATACTATAATAGAAATAAATTATTATGAAAGTAAAACAAAAGGCATGAAAGAAGTGAAGATAAAATATATATGTACAAAATAATGCACAAAACGCTTTTTACAAAATTATTATTCAATTTACTTAAACTCAAACTTTTTGTTATAATTATCAACGTACTCTCTTAAATCGAATTGAGAGTATAATCAGTTATTTTCCGTATACTATATATTCTGTAGCCTTAATGAAAAAAACACTCTAATATTGATTAATTTCTTAACAGATACATATATCGTTTTAAACTCATCCCATTTTTACTAGCCATACACTTATGTATTCACAGTTCCTATCCGAAAATAAATCTACTGTATGCTCCAGTTATTTATTCCATATCCTGACTTTCCGAGATTCAACCTCTCTCTCGCTATCGATTTCTCGCGCTTTACCAATCGCCGCGTTCATCCCCGCGAGAGAAAGAAGCGACAAAACTTACGTAAAAACGATGAAAAGTTTTGGCATTACAATATAAAAGTTTCAAAAGTTTCGTGCGACGAAGAAACGAAACAAAAATCGGGTACTTGACAAGCGAAACATTTGCAACGCAACGCAAGCGGCTGCGACTGATGAGTCGTATACAAATTCGAAATGCATTTGACTGCATTTTTCTCTTTCTCTCATGCCAACTCTCTCCAACGCGTCCATCCTATCGTTCTCCACGAATGCGTCCGCGTCGCGGTGGTAATCGAATTCCACGGATTTGCAATTATTTCGAAAGTTCACGTCCGACAGTAGGTTTAACGACCCGTACGTGATAACGACGGGCGTGCTCTGGAAATCTACGACGATCCGGCGTCCGGCGCCAGATGTATTTCCCATGTACGTGAGATTTGCCCTGATCACAGAGATGGAGAACCTTCGAATTAAGAATCCTTAAATATAATATTTTTTCAAAAAAAATTTGGAGACGAAGACATTTTATAAATCTGATCTGAGAATTTACACACTTCTCTTCCATTCGTAAAACTAGATTGCATGTGATGCATATATGTATTTGCATACTAAAAACAAGAGCGTATATGCGTGTATAGATAAATTAAAATAAATTTTAAAAAATTTAATTTGGAACAGTTTTATATTTAATTATCAATATCAGAAATTAAAGTCTTTAAAAGTTTTGACAAAGGAACTCTCAGGATTTCTCTCAAAGTTTAATCGCACTTGAGTTCCATTGAATTAACACATACAAGAACTACAAAAGTTTATGATATAAATTCATTTACGTACATATCTGTTATTAATTGCAATTAGTGTATTTATTTATAAATTTTGACAGCTTACAGATTATATCCAATTTTTGATTTTTTTGTTTGACTTCGATTCGTGTCTGTATTTTTGCATATTAAATTTGCTTCTATCGATATTTTTAAAGCCTTATTGTTTTCTTTCTTTCAATACAACTTTACGGAATGCGATTTGCGGAAAACGTACGAAATCATTCGATGACGCGAACATGTTATTTACTTATTGCTTTATCACAACTTCAAAATATAATTGACATATGTAACATAAATTGATATTTGATAGCGATTAATGAAAAGCAAATGACAACTTCATAAATTAATAACACGGTTAAACATTTATGAGAATCAGAGTTATGTTTAGAATATTTTTCCTGTTGATCGCAATCAGCCTGGTCACTCATAAGCTTTGAATTTTCGCGGATCACATTAAACTTTTAATTTTTTTTGTTCGGCGCTTATTCGCATTTTTGGCGAATAGCAAATTTGCTCTTGTCGATATTTCGAAAGTTTTTACTCTTCTTTTTCATTTACGTGTCTAGTATGCTTATCCGACGGAATACAAGATACAAATAAAAATATATGTCGCAAATATTTCGTAGAAAACAGACAAAATCAATCGGTGACGAAACAAACATTTTATTTACTTAATGTTCTTCTTTCTTCTAACAATTATTACAGTGCAGTGTTTATATTTATTTTACATTTTTAAACCAATATATTCTTTGAAGTTTTATTCACACATTGAAATTCTTTAATACATAAAAAAAACATAATTATCAATACATAAAAAATTATGTTTTAAAAATAATATTCTCATTTCAGATAAAACGTTTTGAATTGATGAAAAGTAACAATATAAGTCTAGATATATATCTATAGCTAAATTTTATTACATTTGAATGACTTTTATATAATCAAATTGTCATTTTCGCGACAATAGACACGAGTAATATTGTTTTATATATATATAATTCCTTTAGTACCCGATTTTTCCACTGTAGAAGAAAATTGAACTCATCAAAATTTCCCTTGGATATTTAAAATAATATTTCCGATTCTAATATTAAAAAAGAGAACTGCTTTCAGCGAAGATATAAACTTTTTCATGTAACACATATTCGCTGTTGCAAAAAATCCTGTATTTTGCAAGATATTTGAAATGACAGCGGAAACGAGAGCTAAAAACGTTTTAAATTTGTCGTTTGCACAGAGTGTCCTAAATATATATTGAAGTTTCTTTTAGTTCAAAATATTTTTACAGATTTATATAATTAATCTTTTCTGATAAAAATTTGATGATAAGCCATTATCAGGTATTATATTGTACAACTGCTGAAGATCTACTGTATGTTCAAAGACACGTATTTCGAAAGAGAATTTTTCTTATGTTGCTGCAAAGAAGTGACGTAATAACGCAATGCCGTGAACATATTATTACCTTCGTTACAATGGCGTTATTGCTTGCGGCGAGAACCTATTGCCCTTAATATATCGACACGAGCGGCGATCAATAATTCGACATGGTCGACGTTAAATCACCTGCTCGTTCAACTTTTTTTTCGCAAGACCATTGCACAGATTAAATATTGCAGCGACAGTGCATCGTGAAATCGCCAGGTTTAATAATGTCCGTTTGCATTCGAGCTTATTAAACGTCAACCGGGATCTCGGTAGTCAACAGATATATTTATTTAATCGAGCAGAACGAGAAAGTACGGCTTATGAAGTCAGGTGTTGCAGATAACGCGCGTTTATAATTCTTTCAAAATAATGACAATAATATAATTAAACACATGTGTCAGCGCAAAAAAATGCTTATAATTATTTTTATAATTTTTTACAAAAAGCTTGTTTTTTGTACTAGATAAGATCGATATTTTAATTACAACGGATTAAGTGAAGCTCTAGTAGATCGCGCGTTCCGATTTTATTAATTCCTCGTCTTGAACTTCGTTCAAAAGATAGACGTAATATAGATAGAATAACGTTAATGCAACCCCACCGCAACGATGCAAAATAACGCAAGTTGCTCCGTTTAAGAACGACCTTCCGAACCGCTTCCCTATCTCGTATCGCGTATAATCGGATTAAGGTAAGTTCTCCGAT